CATCCATAGCTGAGTTGCCATACCTTTAGATGGCTACCTAAATCAGGGAACTAAATGCAAAATTGTGGGCACTTGGTTCTTATATCGATTTACGGAGGTATTCTGATACCGTGCACATCCCTTAAATGTTCACGACAAAAGTTGCTGCAGAGTAAGAATATAATTCGATATATTCTAGGTGAATATACTCGTATGTCTAATATTATTTGACCGCTTTCGAGTCTCAACTGTATACGTAATAGGGCAGTCACACTGCTCGGCTCTACTTCAACTTCGCTCTTATTCTAAACCAGTATAAAATGGAGTTGTCCACTCCTTGGTCTTATATGTAATCTCCCACTGCTATAATTATGGGAATATTTGCATTTCATACAATATTCTTTAGGTCACTTCGCGTTACATAACTCATCCAGATCTATCGAGACGTTTGAGTAAGAAATTTTATCAGTATTATAGGGATTTTCTAAGAAACATGCAAAATAATTCGATCATTCAACATGGCCGCCAAAGTTTTCGGCGGGGCAACGTCAATCATAATCGTTGATCCAACTTACATTCAATAAATACTATCTAAATGAACTTGGAATATTTCCAAACTCTATCTATTAGACGGATTAAATAAAAATTTACTATATCACAGCTTCAAACTTTAACATTTAAATTTTAAGGCTATAATGTGGTAAAAGGCTAACAACAAATTACTTTCTTTTAAGTAAGTTAATACATATTAAAGATTATTCCCAAATAAGTAATCTTTAATAAATAACTTACTTTTTCGGTAAAAAAAACTAGTTGTAGCCTATGGGTTTGCTAGCCTTTACTTCAACTTCCATAACAGTCGGAGATTAGTCTGCTAGAATTATGGTGCAAATATATTGTAACTCTAAATTTTCCGCCCTTAAGCTATCTCTTTCAAATTCAACGCAATCATGGTAAACTGGTAAAAGTAAAAATATTAAGATGAATTATTATCAAGTACCTACTTATGACTGAAAAAAGTTTTTTTTAAATGTTTAAGTCTTTTGTGTATTCACTTCAATTGATTCATTCAAATAATTATTTATTTTGAAAAGTCACATTGACATCTATGGAAATTCGTCCACCAATATGTACGGCGAAAAACCGACAAAGCATCGTAAAAAAATGAAATGTTTTATATAATTATATTATGTATTACAGAACTTACTTGTTACCGTAATCAAATGAATTAAAAAAAACACACACACACGAACAAACTCGCGTTTCCCGGTAAATTATTTCTTGTTGTTATCACGTGCTAATGTTTTGTAAACAGACAACTGACGATTTCCGAACGCGTAAAAATGACACTCGTCCGCTACATCGCCGTATTAATTCCAATTTACGCGCCAAAAACACCGCACAGCCGTTGTTTTTTCCCGAAAGCGTCCAACGCGCGGGCTTTTGGTTTGTTTGTGTTTTTTTTTAAACGAGCGCGAGGGCTGCGACGTCCGCGCCGGAGTCGACGTCTGTGAGACTACTGTTCCGTTTCGAATTACTGATTTGTAAATAGAAATCTTATTTGCGTTGCGATGTGCCGCCGCCGTTCGGTGCGTGGTGAATTAGCGTTCGCCAGCGCTAGCTGGTGGCGGGTGACTCAGTGGGGCGGCACGGGGCTGAACAATTTTAGTTCCAGTGCTTCGCTTTTATTTTTACGGCGGCCATTGCAATTTTCGGAAGGTCGTCCACCTTTACGTTTGACAGTCGGATCTCTTTACGCTATTATCCTTGAGATTTTGTATTTTTAACGTTTAGAGCTCGGAGCTTTTGCGAGCTTGGATGAGCTGGCGTGACACACTAAACTAAACTTTTTTTCTTAAACAAATAAAGAACTTTTCAGTTCAATATGATTGAATCGATTCATCATCATCATTTTAGCCTGTTTGAGTCCACTGGTCGACAAAAGCTTCGTGGTTCCCACAAAACACGATCCTGAGCTACCTGCATTGCACACATCGACTTCCCGTGCATTTGCACAGGTCGTCACTCCATCTAGTGGGAAGTCTTGAATTGATTAAGTAAACCGCAAAATTGTTACGAGATCAATACTCCACACTAATATTATAAATGCGAAAGTCTGTCTGACTCGCTTTCACGCCAAAACTACCGAACCGATTTTAACAAAATTTGGACTACCTTATACTTGGAATTTTTTTTAAAGAAAGATATTTATTTAAGGGCTACAACGCGAGCTAAGCCGCGGGCGAAAAGATAAGTCTTTATAATGGGGTTTATGTCAGGTGAAACATTCTTATGATAGAGTCACATAACAATAAATCTTGTGAGCTCTAAGATGTTTGTGTCATAAAACATTTGAGTAGCTTATGGTGGCGTATAACTTTCGTATGCTATCAAATCTTCGCCGCGAGAGCGTGGGTATCAAAAATTTGTTGCCCAACTTTATTCTTGTAGTGTATACTTTTTTATTGGAGCCATAATACTGTATTACTCTCGTGGTCGCCTTTAAGATACTAGTTAACAGTTTTCTGACCCAATATCTAAATTTACCCATTTATCGCCACTCTAATATGATTGTTGGCAAACACTCATAAAATACAGAAAAGAGGAAGTGAGACTGTGGTCCGAAAATTTTCTCCAGATTATACAAAAACACTTGCGCCCGGTTTCTGAAACACTGATCATTCTAATCAAACGGTGGTGGCCACGCAGCAGCCTCGGCTGTTGCACGAATGGGCAAGCTCGTCCGGGTAAGTACCGCGACCTCACAGAAGACCGGCGTAAAGTGGAAGTATAATACTTTCGCGTTTCGTCTGGTGAGTGAGGTAGCCGGAGCCCAATTTCCAAAAAGGTTGTCAACGCATCTGCAAACCCTCGGGTGTAGCAGATGTCTATGGGCGGCGTAATTCACTTAACATCAGGTGAACCGTCTGCTCGTTTGGCAAGTTTTCATATAAAAATAAATAAATTAAGAAGATTATTCTGGTCAATTCAGAGAGTTTAACCATCCTTTTGGCAACTCAAATGACATTTGAAAAGCCATTTGACAGCTGATTAGTTTACCTCTACGATGATCAGTGTTTCAGAAACCGGACGTCAAGCTACTACCAGAAGTACGCAAAATACTCCAACTATATTTAATACTAGCTGCTGCGTAGAATAGGCTGAAGGCGTAACATTCAGACAGAAAGACAGATATACATAAAATATGTATATAAATTATAGCCTATGTGTTATTCTGATGTATAAGCTATATTATCGTAAGGTTTCATTAAAATCCATTCAGTAGTGTTTGCGTGAAAGAGTAACAAACATCCATCCATACATACAAACTTTCGCCTTTATAATATTTGTATTGTTTGCGGTTTTTGTTTCCATATACATAATTATGATTGTGTATGGTCTGAGATATGTATTAGAGTACGAAAAATTAAAATAAATCTTTGTTTTGACAACATTTTCAATTACTTTTGTGGCATTATTATGATTATGAAGCGTATACTAAACTGTACACTATGTTTGTTCATAAAATTTAAAGTTTAAAGAACTACTTTTCGTTAAATACCTATATGTTACTTAAGTATACTCAACTAGTTTTTAAGTTCATTAATTCGACAAGATAACTCTGTAACTTTCTACCTACTTAAGAAATTGCGTACAATTAAAGAATTTTATCCAGCTAATCTATCGCGATTCGCAACTGATTTATCTATTTCGAGTTATTCGTAGATAAACTAAGTCTTTCGCCGATAAGTGAAGCCTGTGCATGTGTTGGGTTGGGTGCGACCACGAAATATGCGAACCGTTCCCAGAAATAAAAGTGACATGTGTGGTAGAGGCACGGTGTTGCACGAATGGGCAGGTACAAGAAGTACCACGGCCTTAAAGAAGATCGGCGTGATGTTGCAGTGTTATACTTCCGCGTTCTGGTCAGGGAGCTGACTAGGACTGGAGGAGACTTTATTAAAAGGTGGCAAGGCATTTTCAACACACGTAGCGTTGTGAACGCGTTGCCACTCACCAGACGAAACGCAGATGCGGCAGAAGTATGTAACTTCCACTTCACGTTCGCCCATTCGTGCAACAGCCGAAACTGTTGCTTGGTCCTACCACGGGCACCACTCGGGCTTAGCATCTTTATTTTCCATTAGTCCTGTTACGTATTGGAACCTACAGCAAGCAACGGATTCCGTGAAGTAACCACTTAAACAACGGATGTTTGAAAACCATTTTTATATTTCAAACTAGCTGACTCGGCAATCGTTGTTTTGCCATATTAAATTATTTCTAGAGGATTCGGAACGCACGCATAGTGTATATGCTACACAGACATAGTTGACAGGTACAGTTTGTATGGCGAAAATAAAATTGTTGCTATTTCGATTTTCCATACATTTTTCCATAATTTCTTCCCTGCACTGCCACAAATATTTCAAGACCAAAATTAGCTAAATCGGTCCAGCCGTTCTCGAGTTTTAGCGAGACTAACGAACAGCAATCCATTTTTATATATATATAAGAAGATGGTATTAATTAATAAGAAGCAAAAAACGGTCAAGTGCGAGTCGAACAGGTACGCCGAGGGTACCCATTATACCGCTATAATAAAATGGGTAAATAATCACCACCGATTTCCTCAGGAACGGGTGGACCTAGCAAGCTTATACCAGATACTCAGGTCTATAGTTCCTATTGGGTGTATAAAAGTCAAGGTCCTGGGTCAATACGATAAACGTTATTCTAGGGCAACTACCATATAGGTTTTCGACCCAAAACCTATAGGGCACTGCCGGTTGACATAGAATTGTCAATTATGGTTGAAAGCAAGATCGGACAGACGGACGGACAAGAGGGTGACCTTATAAGGGTCCCTATTTAACATTTTAAGGTACGGAACCCTGAAGAGGTCCGAAGCTTTAGCGGTCGCCCGTTACGCGTTATCGTGGGACAAGATAATGAGTTGCACCACCTCAGCACGTGGACCGTGCAGACAACATTAGTAGTACTGGTTTACGGTTGTCAAAATGTCATACGTCTCCGTGGTAGACTGCGATAGTGGAGTCCAGGTAAGCATGACATTAAGCCGCTTTTAAACCGACTTCAAGAAAGGAGGAGATCTTCAATTAGACTGTACGTTTTTTTATGATTGTCACCTCAGAACTTTCGTCTGAGAGAACTGATTTTGGTGATTCCTTTTTATTTCAAAGCCGGTGCTTCCCATGTGGTCCTGTATTAATTTCACTGGTATTGGATCTTGGGCTCCGGAGATATTTAAGGGTCTCCTAAAAATCAATTATAAAATTAATGCAGAGTGAGATATTTGAAGTGGATTTTGTTTTTCGTTAATAAAAAAATGGATTTAATCTATTTCGAAAGACGAAAGTCAAAATTGCCTCGATCAATCTGAACTTTTTTAATGTTAATGAAATTAGTGTGCCGTTTAGGAAAAAGTTTAATATAATTTACTACGGTGGCGCTGAGCTTATAGTCTTGAAGGTGGTACCGATTTAGAGAAAATCTACAAAGGAAATCAATAATAATAATAATATTTATATGTTTATTTTTTATCTATAAACCCAACCGGACGAGAAAACAAAGAAGTAACCCCAAATAATAATAATATTACAACTTACTCTACGGCATTTAGTTTGCGCGGGCTTTTCATTATTACTATTTAACGGCTTGGGATTTCTCCAAGCAGCCTATACATGAACATTATTTTTATATAAAAATCATTTGTTTCATATCGGTACACACGTACCATATACAATAAAATACATTAATCCTTCTTTGCGACGTTAACTACGGCACGTTATGGACGATTTGACTAATTAACATATTTTACGCGACCGAATGGACGGTAAAGTCAGCCAATCCCAACTTAATGGGAAAGAGGGAAAGAGGCCTTAGGCGACGGACGGCAACATATCGAGTGAGGCGAGAAACCATAAATATAACATAACATAGTAGCACAGATATAAGTAGAAGTATTTATAAATCTTCGTTATCGTCTCGTCAGCAAGGGAGCCGGGGTCAACCCACTCTAAACTTAACTATGTAACTACGAAATAGGTGTTTAGATATTTCTTTATATATATAAAAAGTTTGCATGCGGTTCACCCGCAAGTGATTACTACCGCCCGTGGACATTTACAACACTTGAAAGGTCGCGTATGCGTTGGCAACTATGAAGGGCGAAAGAATAATAGACGGGGAGCGACGGACGGACGAGCCTGCCCATTCGTGCAGCTAACTGCTGTGGGACCTCACAGTCCTGGTGGTTATGATTTGAACATAACTTTATGTGGAATGTTGGCGAACGGACAAGCAGTTCACCTAATGCTAAGACGTAATCACCGCCATCCGTGGAAAACTATCACACCAGTAACGGTAACAGCTAACTGTGGTAGGACCACGCCACAGTTTTCGCTGTTGCACGAATGGGCAGGTCCGTTAGGGTTAGTACCGCGGCCTCACAGAAGACCGGCGTAAAGTAGGAGTGTTACACTTCTGCGTTTCGTCTGGTGAGTGATGCAGCCGGGGCGCACTTTATTCAAAGGTGGCAACACATCTACAACCGGTGTTGCAAAAGTCCGTGAGCGGTCAACATCAGGTGAGCCGCCAGCTCGTTTGCCACTTTCTCACATAAAAAAAAAACAGAGTTTGAAATGCGTTACCAATATTTTTGAAACAGCGCGCCACGGTTACCTAACTCACCAGGCGAAAGGCGAAAGAATAACACTAACAATAACACACTTGTACTACTCGGAGCTTGCCTATCGCATAACGGAAGATACCGCGTGGCCCTAACAGTCTGTGGAGCAATGATTTAACTCCTCGGGAATGTCCTATGTGACCCCCGCTGGTTTCAGGTGGTGGACGGGACGGGTGGGGTTAATGTAGTAGACGGAGACAGCGGGGTAAACGTGGTAGACGGAGGCGGCGGTGTCCACGTCGTGGGTGGTGACGGCGGGGTGAACGTGGTGGGTGGAGACGGTGGGGTGAATGTGGTGGATCACCCGGGTGCCGGGGTGGTCAGCGTGGTGGACGGGCCCCCTGGAGCGGGGGTGAACGTGGTAGACGGCGATTGCTTCGGTGGAGTGCGCGTAGTGGTAAGCTATCAACAAAGATATCTAAAAGTCATCAAAGATAAGTCATCATAGTTATGATAAAAGTCATCATGCTGAGGTGCGAGGTAAAGTATGTCTGCCGATTGTCGTATATGGATGACTGCCTTGAGGGTGGAAGGCATACTTTATTGTCATCGGGTGACTTTAGAAAGAAAGAAATTTAACAGCACCAAGTTAAAGAATAACAAGACATCCAGGTAAAACAAAAGTACATTAAAATTATAATTAACTAACTCTTCGCCCGCAGCTTCGCTCGCGTTGAAGCCGTTAAATATCTTTCAACCCTTTACAACACTTTTTTCCAATTAAAAAATAACCTATGTCCTTTCTCAGGCTCTAGACTACCAAATTTCATTTAAATCGGTTCAGTAGTTTTGGAGTGAAAGCGAGACAGACAGACAGACAGAGTTACCTTCATATTATACGCATATCTATACTAATATAGGTTTTTAGTGAACTTTATTAGACTATAACTTTACCTTCTACACTGTCATATACAGTTGATTGCCTTGGCAGGGTAAGGCAGGGGAAGCTTTAGAGGTAGTTTCAATTGCGATCCAATTTGTATTATTGACAGCACTAGTTAGTGTCAGGGCCATGCAGCAGTTTACTGAAGCACGAATTAGCTGGCCAGATACGTAGAGGATCGTTGGACTGGGGTTTGGCAATTCAGGAGAAGGCAATAACTTACTAGTACTACCTTCCTAAAGAAACGCATAGGTTATGCAGTATGAACTGAATCGCTTAGTTTGATTGGTGACGGTCGTTTACATATGCCGATGTTTGACAAATGTTAACTATATTTTACAAAGAGAAGAATACACATAAACAAATAACCATTTCATTACGTTTAAAATAAATTCTTAACGGAGTATTTATGTTCCATATTTAAAAATAACTATAATGTTAGCAGTTACTAATACATTTTGTTTATATTGCAGGACGGGTGATAAGATAAGCTGTATTATGCGGAATAAAAGGCTGATTTATTACAAAAGCAATTTTTTTTTTACATAATTATAATTTTTAGGGCGCCTGCGTACATTATATAGCAATTATGCCAACAAGTCTGCGTTTTTCCATTTATAACGTAGGCGCTTAAATTTTGTATCTTTTATCAACTTGAGATATTTCTTGACAAATATTTTAAAGGCTATATACAATTTTTAATATAATTAAACCAGTATTTAAAACAAATTCTATGAGGAAGTAATTCATACTTTAAAAAGTTCCTAATATATAGACGGCAAAGCTTATTATGATAATATATATGAAGTGTATCGTGCTAAAAGCGAAATCAATTTCTTGTATCTTCGCTTTTACGATACACTGTATGATTATCCGGTTAACCGAATTTGAAGTTTTTAATTCAATCTGTACTGAAACACGATCGAAGTTTGCTATAACGCCATCTATTGGGAGCAACGCAACTTTCGTAAACTGTTTAAATTGTGTAGAACTAGTCTAGGTACTTGCTTAGATAGCTTGGATCGTGGAAGATTGCGTCCCCGTGTTCCCTTGTCCCCGGTCGATGCCACAGAGGTGCAACGTGGGTCTTTTAGTGGGTACCCGTTTCTGACTCCTAAATACCCCTGCCACTTCCCCGACACACGGGCAGGGAATTTTTCCGACAGAAAAAAAGAAAGTATTTGCCCAGCTAAGGCGTTAGCGAATAGATCGCTGCGATTTTCAACGGCAATTCAGGCCATACTAGGACGGCTCGGAAAAGTGTTTGTTAAATATTAAAATGGGCGTTTTCAAAACTTAAAGCATAAAGTTGTTTGCTGAAATGATGTGAACGGTGTGACGGTAAATCAACTCAAACAAACAAGTGATTCAGAATTTAGTCGAAATATTAAAACATCGGCACTTGTCGACTTATATGAGAAAATATTCACTTTATTTGTGCCAGTGCATCTTTTAATATCATAATCTTTATCGTAATCTTTACGGTGGTAGAGCCACGCAGCAGCCCGGGCGGCCTCCTGTTACACGAATGGGCGGACTCGTCCTGGTAAGTACCACGCCCTCACAGAAGACCGGCGTAAAGTGGAAGTATAATACTTTCGCGTTTCGTCTGGCGAGTGCGGTGGCCGGAGCCCAATTTTCAAAAGGTTGTCCAACGCATCTGCAACCCTCGGGTGTAGCAGATGTCCATGGGCGGCGGTATTCACTAAACATCAGGTGAACCGCCTGTTCGCTTGGCAACTTTTCACATAAAAAGAAATCTTTACATATCTATAAATTTCTCCAATCATCTTTCATCTTCTAGCAATAACTACTAACTAGCAATAAATTTTAGTTGAAACTAAAGTTTATTGCTAGTTACGAAAATAAATTAATATATGATTTACGAGATTCCCGAGTGATGAACCTAGCCGATAGCCGGATTTTATTAGAATTTTAGAATTCAGACATTTAAAAATATTTTTTTTGTATTGAAAACGGCCAACCAGTGCCATCGGAGAGAAAAATGAGGTCCTTCAGTAGAATGAAACCTCGTTAGAGTATAAGCATTACTATTAAAAAAATAAAACCACTCTTACCTGGCAGATTAAAAAAGACCGCGAACCTAAACAAGCAGTACTTACCAGTACTCGAAGAAGTTCGACAGCTGCATGCAGTCGACCTCCTTCCTCGGCTCGCCGTGTAATTCCTCTGCGATTCCAGAGTCCACGTCCTCCTCAGAGCTGGCGGAATCTGACTCAGTATCCGCACGGTCACCCATCTTTCTAACACCTCGATATATTTGTCGTAATGTCAACTGTTTTTTTTATACGATTTCGAGTTTTTTAATAGATCACAGTTTTATCGGACTATGTCAACGTGTTTATCGTGGCTCTAAATCGTTTATGGTCTTTGACTGTAATTTGGTTTACGGTGAAATCTCTGGCTCCGTTTTGTCCTCTTTGGCCGATTATGGGGCCAGTGTTGTCAGTATTTAAACATGTAATTTAATTTCCAAATGTGATTTATTATATCTCCATATTATCGCCTAAAAAACTAGGTAACTCTTATAAAGAATAATATTCTTTATACCTAGTAATACCTAGTGATACTTCTATTGCGTACGTACAAGAAGTGTGAGATGATGGCACAGTTGAAGTTTAAAATAAGAACATTTTGTTTGTTTTAATAAAAATGACAAATATTTAATAGTCTGTAAAACAACAGTATCACATGTATATTCACGACAAAAAAATTAAAATGTCATCAAAGCAAAAATGCTTTGGGACGAGGTTGGAGTAAACAGTGTTTAAACAACAACTTAATAATACTGTTATTAAATATATTATTTGTAAATGCCGTTAACCTAAGAAAATGTTACTAATCATCACTGCCAATAGATTTACTAGTAATAGGCAAAAATTAATTCAAAAGTACGTTCGGAGCTAAATATTGCACATCCGCCTTTGTGTCAAGACAAAATTTGTTGCCTTCGGAGAGCGTTATCTTGCTGATGCCGATAACTATTGCCCTTTTTCCAGACGTCCGGAAAGGCTGTTCCTTTCAAAGGTAGAAGCGTGTTGAACCAGTAAACAGATAAGCTGCCAAGGGAGGGCTTTTTAAAACTTTATTGCTTAATTTATCTGGGCTGGCTGTCTTTGGTTTAAGTTTTTTATCGATATCTTTGGCGTCTTCGGGGTCATTAAATTCAACGGGGTCGTCAGCTTGTGGTAAGGCTTGGTTTAATAACGCGATTCACCATTGACTGGTGAACTGATCGACGTGTTCGTCGTACCATTTGTAACTCTAGTTTGTTGTATCGAGGCATTCGGATTTTTCAGGGTCACGGAAGGCTGAACCGCTATTAGTTCGAACTAAGTGTGGTAACGATCTCTGACCCTGCAGGTCCTTCTTAAACGCGTCAAAAACATGCCACGTACGGCGAAGATCCGTAAGATGTGAAATTACCAATGCTACTAATTACTGTCTATTCTCATTATTATTTGTATTATTAATCACTCGCTAATCGCTCGATTGGACAACCAGGAAGTGGCCGATCGTTCCGATCGAAAACATTTGGGCCGTTATAAATATGCGCTCTCGATTTCCCGCCGCGAATGCGCAGCGCGCGCGCCGCGAAATGTCATCGGGTTCGCGCCAAAAAACTCCACAGATAACAAACTGTTGCGGTGCTGCGTTTCATTATACGTTGCGTTCTATTAGATACTACTGCAATTAAAAAGAGTAAAGTAAAGTATCAGCCTATACATGTCACACTGCTGGACAAAGGCCTCCTCTGTGCAGAGGGTATCATGGCATAGCCCACCACGCGACGGACTCCACATATCTTCGAAATATTTCTTTTTTGTTATTACTTGGAAAATATGCAGGTTTCCTCACGATGTTTTCCTTAACCGCTGAGCACGTGTTATTAACAACTAACAACAGCACTTATAACTAACAATTTCATCGGTGCCGGCACCGGGGATCGAACTCATAGCCCGAGCACCCGGACACTGAGCTATCACGACGCTTAACTGTTTGACCTATAATTGTCAATTTTGTTTAAAAGCAAGGTCTTACAGCACAAGTAAAGGGAAAATGCCCAAAAGTAAAAAAAGTTGAAAATTAAGGAGAATTTTGGTATTTAGAAGTTTTCCCGAAAATATTAATTTGCCCATAAATGTTTATCGTGTTGACTAAGGACCTTGATTTCAACATTTGGGACTATAGAACTCAGTATCTGCTATAAATTTCAACTTTCTAGGCCCAACCGTTCCTGAGAATCGGCGGTGACACACGGACAGACAGAAGGAGAAGAGCGTGATCTTATAAGGGTTCCTTTTTTTACGGAACCCTAAAAAGGGAGCAATAATCTTCTGGGGTTAAAGAAAGTACCAGATATACCGATATCGGAGCTCTGTAAGCAAGGCTTATGGAAACTTCGAAAGCATTATCCAGACGTTATCCAATAAATCATAGCATCAATGACCTAAACGCACGACGTAATTGCTTTGCAAAGCTTTTGCATGGACCTCGTTTGTTTCAATCAATAGAGTTACGTTGGTAGGGCCACGCAACAGCCTCGGCCGTTGCACGAATGGGCAGGCTCGTCCGGGTAAGTACCACGACCTCACAGAAGACCGGCGTAAAGTGGAAGTATAATACTTTCGCCTTTCGTCTGGTGAGTGAGGTAGCCGGAGCCCAATTTCCATAAAGGTCACGTCAACGCATCTACAAACCCTCGGGTGTAGCAGATGTCCGTGGGCGGCGGTATTCACTTAACATCAGGTGAACCGTCTGCTAGTTTGGCAACTTTTCACATAAAAAAATGCATGATTAAAAATAAGTCTGCAACATTAATAACTTTCTTTAGCTGCAGTAGACTGCACTTTACAAGTAAAATCCACTGCGCTACGTCAGTCCCCGGTCTAAGGCCAATTAAATGAGATCAATTAAGGCCATTAAAACAAAAAAATAAATGTTACTTCAAAAATAAATAACTACTCAAAACACCAACTACTTATACAAGTACCTCATTAAATTACCTATGTGATACATCTTGCTCTCTCCGAATTTGTTATGATTTGTTTTGTACTATGCCCTATAAACAGGGTCCATAAAGAACTATTTTACTAATTACCCTAACACCTTTTGTTACTTAATGGATATGCAATAAATAAATAAATAAATAAATAAATAAATAAACAAATGCCTACCTGGCGCGGATCAAAAGAATACCCCTGACGATCAGAATCCAATCCGAAACTATATTTTACTGTTGTAAAAACTCATTCGGTGGTAGCGCCACGCAACAGTGGTCGCTGCTGCAGGAAGTGGCAGGTCCGTAAGTTAGGTTTTACTTTTGTTGAATTTTACTTCTTTGAGCAATAATATTTTATCTGTACTATTAGTGAATGCTGCTTGTTAGTTGGAAATGAGTTACTGATTTGTGTAATGTGTTCTCGTAAATTACTTCTCTGCGTATATTTATCAGTTA